GAAGGAAGATAGATTAAGGATTATTACACGATGTGAGGAATTTCCTCCATTGCCTCCATGCCTAACAGACCAGATGAATTGGCCGTTTCGATCGTACTCGATGTGGATTGAGCAAACACCGTCTGCTGTTCTTGTCAAATGAATCTGCTGATCCCAGAAAACACTCCGTCATCCCATGATCTGCCGCCACCTCCGCCCCAAGGTACCGGTCCACACAAGTGCCCGTCTAGCTCTTTTACCACCCCATAACCAACCTGGACAAACACAGGATCACCAATACAATTTGTACATTATTTTCTTCTAATTGATCTGAATTTTTCTGTTAACGCTTTCGGCATAAACCAAATTGGATGATCCATCTCTGCAATGTCCTCGGCAATCTTCATCCGGATGCTTGCCATGCAAGTAACTTGTGACAGGTGGTGATTTGAGTTTTTGGGATGTATATTTCAAAGCTTCTTCAGCATTCCAAATCTTCAGAGGCCTGCTTTCAACTTTCAACCAGCAACAAGGATAAATGCAGTAATCTATCAATGATCAAATTAAAATCCAAGGCAAATAAGGTAGGTCGAGTGAAGGTTAGGATTGGATTGGATTGGATTGGACTGGAGTGGACTGGCGATAGCAGATTAAGGACGCATGTATGTCATAAAAAGATTAAGTGGGTTTATACAGGAATGAAATCTGATTCCAAGCTCCAACATTGACCAAAAAAGGAGAGGGAACCTAATCTGAGCAGAAATTAACTTTATTCTGGGGAAAAAGTTTGTTCTTTGTGGATACTATGCTGTTTGTCACGGACTTCATGAGAAGTTGACCCAATAGAAGAACAAAACAGATCCAAACCAGTCAATGAGTAGTTCGGCCTTGGAGTAAGAGGGCTTACGAGGAGCCCATGCCGTGCTTTTCAGGGTAGCATAGCCGGTCGTTTCTCTAACCTGCAAATCATGAGCTGACACATACGTTTATCCACACACTTCACATTAATTGGTCTTTTCAGTATGAATGAGTTGTTACATGGGGAGGGAAAATGTGAAACATGTCCAAGCAATGCTTAATGCTAATTAAATAATGTTTATTTATTTATTTTGTATACAAAGAATTTCAGAAAGAAAAAAGGGCCCTCACCTAAACCCAAAACAGTCTTACAAATCTTCTAGGCAAACTGTGCTCCTTGATTGGCTTCCCCCTCCTAAATGTTCAGAGGTGAGCCTGGTCAAATTGGAGCAGGTTGAGTTCTGCACAATGAAAACGAAGAGGATCGAAGGCTTCTCTCTAAACATTGGTATTGAATCTGCTCTTGCAGCCGAGTCACAGAGCTACATCGAATCCTAAGTTTGGCTTCAAACTAAAAAATGTTGACGGATTGGAGTTGATGTGACTATAAAAAATGAAGTTGAATGTTAGCTGCAGTCGTGCCTTTAACAAGCCCCGTTTCGCTGCACCTGATCTTTCAACTTTGGCCTTTGATGATTTTCCTTGATGACCTCTCTACCAATAGTCACCACAAGAACAATGACCATTACTAAAATGGTGAAACGACTTTGGGTCACTCAAATATATATCACACCCAAAAGCCATAGATATATACTTGGCTGTCCTGTGGCAGTCTCCACATATTCTCAGATTTTTCACCATCCTAATACTTCGGGGTACACTCGGGGAGCCAACGAGAGCAAAAGCAAATGCAAGTTTTTCACTATGGACCCAGCTAATACCCCCCTCTTCTTCCTCAACACAAAGCTCATTACAAAAATCAGGTCTCTTTGCTTTTTCGTCTATGTTTTGTAACCATGAATTTAGAAAGTTTGAGCATAACTTCGACCGGTCACCTGCAGTGTACGTATGCACTGAGTTCTTGAACTCAATCCAGCACTGCCCAGTAAATTTCTTTATTGCAGCATCTCGACCAAACTTTCTCAATTTTGAAGTATCCTCAGATATCCCACATAGAGCATATGCCTGTAACAGTAACTGTTGAATCAAAATATTCCCTGGTTCCAAGTCGAGTAAATGCTCCCCCACACGAACTGCCAAGGCAAGATTTCCATGAATCCTACATGCTGTAAATAAGGCAGCCCAAATAGAGGAGTCTGGTTCTATGGGCATAACTTCTACAAACTGCATTGCTTCTTGAAGCCTACCTGAACGCCCAAAAAGATCTATCATAGCTGAATAATGTTCTAGACCTGGTATGATTTGATAGTCTTCAGTGATGCTGTAAAAAGCTTGTCTCCCCTCGTCTACCATTCCAGCAAGACTGTATGCATATATGATACTTGCAAAGGTACCTCTATTTCGTTTAAAGCCCGACTTCTTCAGCTGATCAAAAAGGTCAAGTGCAATGTCTGAAAGACCATGCAAGACATAACCAGAAATTAGCGAGTTCCAAGTGATGATATCTTTGGATGGCATTCTATCAAATATGAATCTTGAATATGCTATATTTCCCGATTTGGCATAGGTGTCTATCAAGGAATTTGCAACAGGGACTACAGACTCCAAATTCCTACGCAATACACTACCATGGATCTCTTTCACCTTTTTCGTGGCAACTAAATTCGCACAAGCAGGCAGGACACTCAATATAGTAACAGAATTGGGATTAACACAGTAGGCCTGCATCTGCCTGAATAACCCAAGTGCCTTGTCTTTCTCCCCAAGTTGCAGGTAGCCAGAGACAAGAGAGTTCCAAGATGCTGTATTTCGTTTAACTTTCCCGTCTTTTTCCATCCCTTGGAAGAGGTCCATTGCTTGATCTGCATCTCCGCTCTGCATGTATCCTGTGATCATCACATTCCAGGTCACAGCATTGGGATGCACATCTGATTCCTGCATCTTCATGAACAGTTCATAGGCCTTACCACAGTATCTAGCTTGGCAATATCCTCCTATCATTGAGTTCCAGGTATAGACATCTTTCTCTGGGATCCTAACAAAGACCTTCTGAGCAGCTTCCAGTTCCCCACATTTTGAAAACATACCAATGAGTGCATTTCCGACCAGTACGTCATCAATGAAACCCATCTTTATAGCAATAGAATAGATTTCCAACCCTTTGTTGAGTGATTTTAAAGATGTGCAAGCTGAGATTGCACTAGTGATTGTAATCCCATTTGGTTGTACCCCTGCCAAAAGCATCTTCTTCAACAAATCCAAAGACTGATTTTTCCTGTTGTTTTGAGCAAACCCCGAAATCATAGAAGTCCAAGTATATACATCAGGAGTTATCCCACAGCTCTCCATCCTCCTCATCAGTTCCATAGCGACATCACAATGCCCTAACTGGTTATGACTAGCAATCAATGTATTCCAAGTTACCAACCCCGGTTCAATCCCTTCTTTGCTCATCGCATCAAACAGTCTCTGAGCTTCTTCAGTCTCACCTTTGTGGCAATAACCAGATATAATTGCATTCCAACTCACCCCATCCTTCTCATCCATGTCGTCAAAAAACCTCCTTGCCCACTTCAATTTTCCACACTTTGCGTACACTGCCAGTATCGAATTGTTCACTTGAATACAACTACTCAAGTTACACCGAACCACAATGGAATGTATCAATTTTGTGGCCTCTAAATTCCTACAATTCCCACAAGCCTGCAATATCTTAGGAAACAGAAAGTAATCCGGCAAAACCCCATCTCTCATCATTGAGTAAAAAAGCTCCACCACCTCTTTCCACCTCTGGTCTCTGAGACACGCACCAATCATGGCAGACCAAGAGTACAAATTTCTCTCACGCATTGCGTAGAATACCTTGCGCGCATCATCCAAAAACCCGCATTTCGCATACATACTCACCAACTTCGTTTCAACAAAAGGGTTCAATTCCTCAACTACATCAATACGCTCATGGATCTTCCGACCCAGTTGAATAGAATTGGTGTCAATGCAAGATTGAAGTAAATTCATGTAGGTAGTGGAAGTTACCTTCGACCCACTTTTGGCAATGGATTCAAGAACCGTGACGGCCTTGGTGAGCTCGCCATTCTTGCAGAGGTAATTCAAGTGAGAGTCTGTGGATTTTGGTAGGGTTTTTCTGGAAAAAGAGATTGTCGGTTTGGTTTGTCGTGGTGAGAATTCAGATGGGTTGCTAAATTTGGGGGGAATGATGGCTGTTGGAGGGTTTGATTTGCAGGGGATTGTAAAATTCTCCATTGCTGAAAGCTCGAAGCTTGAAGGATTGGGTTTTTCTGGGCGCTATTTGTTTTAGTTCATGGCTGGAAGATGAGGTGGAAAGCGCGGATAGAAGATTGCAGAGTTTGTTGTGTCCGTTGGAAGTGGAACCCGCGCATTGCAAATTGCAATGGATTTAGCCAATGATATTGCGCCACGTAGAAGTACGGCCTTTCCAACAGAATTGGATCCCTCTGGACCTTAGTGTTCGGAGCCTGTGATCAATTCTTCTAGGCCACACAAATTGAATCCAACGGTCCTCATTAATTTATTTTTCTAGCCTACCACACAAAATTAATAGCTCTTATTTATTTTACACACCAATCAGTGGCCCAGTTGATTTGATTATTAGGCTCCGGACACTAAGGTTCTGAGCGGATCCAATTCCCTTTCCAACTATCTAATATTAACAAGTGTAGGAATACATTATCAACTATCAATGTGTCATTGATATTACCGATATCACATTTCTGTACATAGTTGTCGATATACTTGTTGATGAAAGTTTTATTAGAAAACGACTAATGACGCGATATAATCTTATTAACAAATTGAACTAACAAGATCGTTATATGGTATGACCGAAGTTTTTCACTTATGCAACAATGTCAATGCGTGCAAAATAAAAATAATAGAGAAAACTGCGAATGTTTGGTTATGTTTAATAGTAAGAATAAGCAACTTAAAAAACAATCTATCACGTCAAATAATCATATAATTACAATAGAAATGTTAACAACTCCAAAATAATCATCATATACTGTCACTTTCTTATTTTTTCTACAAAGAAGGACGAGGATGACTCCAAAATTTCCACAAGATGGCACGACCATAGTTCGATTAAGATAGTCTAAAGTTCGACTCACTTAAATGACAAGACCAACTAAACCACATAAGAAAATGACCCAAAACAATCAGAAAGGCTTCTCTTGTGCTTTTTAATCAAACAAATATCATTCACGAGTGAAAAACTATTTATTTTCCCAGCTGTATGAACTCCGATTATTGCTTGAGACGTTTGATCAATACTTCTTGAAGAAGGAGGGTTTGAAGCTTGTTTTCTGACCACTTCCCAGCCAATGCTGCATGTGAACTCCGATGGCGTCCAAATACAGGCTGCTCCTCCCATGGAAGCCCACCACCTTACCCTCCGTCGCGGTCGAAGTGAAGAATGTCCCAACTTCTTCTCCAAACGGACCGTACTTCCCTCTGCTTGTATAAAAACTCAGCGACTTCATGATTTTATGTCCCTCGCCATTGCTTACGCAACCATAATATCCAGATACGCAGGTGATCACTTCATGAGGGTACTCCAATTTTATCTGCAGAATATACAAATGAAAACGGTAAATAGAAAGCCAGTCAGTCAAGGCAGTATGTCCGCCCACTTGCACGAAGGTTCAAATCTTCGCCCCGTAGATTACTAAGATTATAGTCGTTTATGATATCGTGAAAAAATAATCAAATTGATGAAGATGTTGATTAAGCATTAGTACTCTATGTGGGGAAGTTCCTCCATCGCCTCCATGCTTAGCAGACCAGATAAATTGACCGTTTCGATCATACTCAATCTGCACTGAGCAAATGCCTTCTGCTGCTCTTGTCAAATGAATCTGCCTAATCCCGGAAAACACTCCATCATCCCATGGTCTACCTCCATCTCCGCCCCAAGGTCCCGGTCCACACGGAGCTGGTTCTTTTATCACCCCACAAGCAACCTTGCCAAACACAGAATTACTAATACAGTTAGTACATGCACAATATTGTCTTATCTACTGACGGAATCGGATTGAACTTATCACCTCTTCGACTTTTCCTCTGTTTGTCATCAGTAGTTTATTTGTCCAGTGAGGATTATCTATCTCAGTAATTGCCCCTGCAGGCGCCTTTGGGACCATTGCAGTGCTAGTATTAGGAGTATTTGTCACAGTTGGTGTCTTTTTGTGGTCACTGTGACCGTTACGAATATTAGGAGTATTTGTGGCAGTTGGGGTCTTATTTCTGTCAGTGTGGCCGTTAGGAACATTGGGAGTATTTGTAACAGTTGGTGCCTTTGTCTCTACAACATGCACCTTTCCTTCTATGGCATGGACCCCAAGAGCATCCAAGAACAGACCGCTCCTCCCATGAATTCCGACGATTTTCCCTTCTTTAAGCTTGGTGGTGAAACAGGCTCCTTGTTCTTCTCCATATGGCCCGTGCTGCTTCTTCGTGGTGTGGAAAGTGAGGGACTTGATGACACTAGGCCCCATCACCATTGTAGGCGCGAATGTTCCTGTTATATGCGTCAAGATCTCGTTCGGATAGTCAAAAACTATCTGCAAATACATGTACAGAACATTATAATTTCAAAAACACCGTAATATATAGTGTAAATACACTTAACCTGTAAGACAAGTTTGTTTAAGTACTAATTGTTCACCTTGTCACTTTTATATCCTCCAGTCCCTCCACGTCTGCCTCCCCAAACGGCTTCACCATTGCAGTCATACTGAACCTTAATGTATACAACTCCGATGTTTCTTGATAACTTGATTTGTCTAATCCCCGTATAAATTCCATCATCAAATACAGTACCACCCGTTCCTCCGAAGGGACCATATGCTACCACCCCTTCAACTTTCGAGGGAAACTTCTCAATATTCGTCATCTGAAATAAATAACTACTTGTTAATATGGCGTATTTTCAAATTGAACCCGAAAAGGAAACGGAAAAGGTGAAATTTTCCTTACCAGCTTACGTTTGGTTCCTGCATCACTTAATTCGGAATCAGAAAACTGCCCTGAGAGCATTTTGGGTACTGGTGCTGGTGCTGGTACTGCAGCTGGTTTAGTAGTGGAGTTGTCCTTCGGTCTTATAGCGAAAAACACATCACAGTTTTGGATTAATGAGTAGCCAGCAAGGTTCTGATCAGTATCAACAGTCAGGTAATTGAACTGTGTCTGAAGCAGAGTTTTCGCGTGCTGGTTTTGTTCATTCCGATCAAGGGGCTTTAGGTAAGCGCCTATTGAATCAAGATACCAGCCAGACATGCCATGGAACCCAACAATCTTACTATTCGCAGCTGTCTCCGGGAGTGAAAAATAGGTTCCTTGTTCGATCCCAAACGGTCCATAAGTTGTTCTGTTGCTCTTGAAAGTAAGAGATCGAACTGTGACCGGTCCCCATTCGCTTATCTTACCGTAATATCCCTCAATTGAAGTTAAAAATTCTTCTGGAGAAGCAAGCTTCACCTGCAGCAGCATGACATATATATACACAATTAATTTGTATAACACCGTGACTAGCTGACTTTTATGTCATGTACTTTGGGATGAATTGAAGAGGAGGAGAAGAAATTCGATAGGGCTGCCTAACTAGAACAAGTCTCACACCGAGTAAAATTGCATGGAATCAAGTGGGAGCGTTAATCGGAGGATCACGGAGTCACATGCTTTTGTGAGAATATATAACGTGGACTAAATTAACTCACCATGTCAGTTTTCCAGCCTCCATTGCCACCGTGCCTGTCTGACCAAAATGAGTTCCCTTTCTCATCATACTCAATCTGGATGGAATCAATGGCAGCACCATGAGTTATCACCAGCTGCTTCACAGTCGAGTAAACTCCGTCGTCCCAAATGAGTCCGTTGTGGCTTCCCCATGGCCCAACTGACACGGGTTTGTTGTCGGATCCCTCAAAAGTATCCTGCAATCGTTAACATTCACCCCAAATTAGTCAGTCATATATAATTAACTGGGGTTTAAGTTCCGATCAAAATACAAGAAATCACACAACAAAGACAGACTGTCAATATTTCATCAATATATTGACCCCAACAAAATTTACCAACATGCTATCGACACATTTATAAATATGCGTTTATATACGGAACACATAAAATATCTTCAAAACAAATAGTTATCTACTTACCATTTTGGATCAGTGACCAAATGAAGGAGATGTAGAAGGGGTGAGATTGTGAATGCAGTTGATCGAATACTTGAACGCTGCACTCTGAAGAATGATATGGCTGAGCTACGCATATATACGGAACACAAAGCGTGCGTGGATTCATGAATTAAGACAATAGTTTATATCTACACCTTACAACTGTGTGGAAGAAGATAATTATTCTCTCCACTACGGAGCTAATGGCTTCAAAAGTAAAAGGAATCAAACAATTGTTCCCATCACTTCTGAATTCTGACCTCAGATAAAGAATATAGACTTTACATGGAATGGAATTTACCATCATCGTGGCATTCCAATCTAATAATATAATATTATGCGTAAGTTTCTCGTTATATGTCATTGCATATCGACCACATGACGATGACCTGAACTTATTTCATATGAGTTGTTCGCCATAAAAGAAAGAGTACTATCTTTAGCTAGCTAGAGAGCATTTTCCAGGGTCTAGAATTTTCCTTGTGCAAATTTTTCTCACTGAGCATTTGGAGGACAGAAGATTACGCAGTAACGCGAAAGAGTACTGCTTTATTCGGATTCCTTGGAAATTTGTAATATATGGGAAGCTCTTCATATATGCATGGCACGCATGGCACATCGTGGTCGATTGGACACGTCCGTATGTCAATCAAACTTTCAGAGACGTACGTACATTTCCCAATCATTGTTTATTTCCTCAGAATTCAGACAGGGATGTTCTTCTTTTCTGGTAATTCTGGTTTTTTGCTTTTTACTACTAAGATACTCAGAATCCTTTTTTTTTTTTTTATCACCTTCATTTCTGTTTCTGCCCGGTGACAATTTGTCTGGTCAATTTCTGTCCCTTCTGCAGACCACAAAAAAAAAAAAAAAAAAAAAAAAAAAGAAGAGAGCAAAAATGGTAAATATCGGATCGGAGGGTGGAAAAAGCACCGCAGGTAGAGACGCATCCACAGCGACGGTGTCCTCCACCCACAGGGTGGCGGGCAGAAAGCAATGGGGGAGGAGGAGGTAGGATGCGAAGAAAGTTGAGGTTCCACCATAAAACCAATTGGCAATATGATGAGTAGTCCAACTTCTTATAAACACATACAAGTCTATCATTTCATCAATGTGGGATTCATTCTTAGCACGCTCCCTCACATGGGCAAACTTAGGAGTAGTCCAACCTTATAAGTACATGCAAGGTGTATCCTCTCATCAGTGTGGAATTTATTCTTAACACGCTCCCTCACGTGCGTAAAATTTTAAGCCTAACACGTAAACAACACAACTTGGGTGACGTAGAGCACGTGTGACCGTTGGGCTTCACATGTGGGACGACAACCTGCTTTGATACTATGAAGAAAGTTGAGGTTCCACCATAAAACCAATTCACAATATGGGGAGTAGCCCAACCTCTTATAAGCACATATAAGGTCTATCATCTCATCAATGTGGGATTCATTCTCAACAGGGTGTTGAAATCGTATTTGCAACCTTGATATCAAATTATGAAATATGGGCCGACCCAAATGGCTGAACAGACATACAAATTTGAGCCCGAATGAACACTTATGTGAGTCCAGCCCATATACAACTCGGGCTTCAAGCCTTAACATGAGAGGCAATTGTAGCCCAATGGTTCCTTTCCTCTTTTTCTGTCTGAGTCGCGTAGAACTAAAATACATGACATCTCATGCTTTTGTGTAACACCCTTACTAATGATCTCTTTCCTATTCTTTCAGTTGGCACCACCATGCAAAGATACCCGCAGTGAGAGAAATTTTGATAGGTTTACTTAATTACAACGTATCTCACACCGAGTGCAATTAACATGAAGTCAAATAAGACTAAAATACATGATCTCTCATACTTTTGCGAGAGCTGCTCTACCAATACTCTCTTTTCTATTTCTTCAGCTATAATCGAACACAATCCAAGGAAAAATTTGTGCCAAGACACCCAGACTTTCCGTAGTAACTTTTTAAGTGAGATAATGGTTATCGTATCTTGCTAACACATTTTCACATAATTTTATTAATTTACTCGTATTACAATATCTTACATCAAAAGTTTATGAAATACCAACTATATAGTATATTGCATATTTTAATACAAGTATTAGTAATAACACGTGACAATGACGATGAAACAATTTTTTTGTGTTTTCTCGGATTAAAGTCCTTCTAATCCTGTTTGTCCAGAACAGGTTATTATCCGGGATAAACCAAAGTGTGCGACAGCTGAATGAATGGTCGCACCGACGAAAACGGAACGGAGATCTGGCGCGCTGAACCAACTTCCACATGCAGACAAACGGCCGTCAACGGTTCCCCGGTTACACGCTTCAAAGAAATTGTTAATTTCCAACCCAAAAAAAAGGGCAATAAGAAATTGAGATCCACCACTCTCGGGTGCACCTTAATTTCTATCAATCTTTTTTTTTTTTTTTTTTTACAAATTATAGCGTGAGTTAAATTATTAGTTGTTTGTAAGAGCAAAATGAGCTCGAATCCGCATGTAAATATAATTGCGTTATTCCTTCACAATAAAAAGCATTTGCTTATTTTCTTTTATTTTTATTTTTATTTTTAATAAATCAGTGATTTTATTCCTTTTCGTATTTTGATTTAGACTAGACAGCTGGTTCTATCTTTTTTCCAAAGTGCTAATTTGAAATTATGGTGATGGTTTAGTTTGATTTGAAGGTATCGAAACCCTACTTCATTATTAGGTGTAGCATGATCCATCATCAAACTTTAATCATATCTGCATGTAAAAGGTCATACGGACGTGTTTGACTACAATTGTATTCACACGGCAGATAAAAGTTTGTAATTCAAATGATTAATTAACAGCGTTTATCTGCACATTGCAAGTTTTGTGTCGGTATCTTCTCCTTATAGTACTGCTTATAACAAATAGTATATTCACAAAAGAAAAGTTAAACCAATTTTACAAGCAAGTTTTTGGTAGAACTCGGGGTTTTATATATATATTTTGATCGTCAATTGATAGGACTTTTATTGCTAGTCAGGTTAAATATTCTATGTAAGATAAAAGATAAAGATATTTTCTCAAAGTGTGATTTTTTATTGACTCTCCATCATCTCAAAATTTAACGTTTATAGAAAAACATAATACATTAGTTTACGGGTTCTAAATTCCAACATTAATCACAACCGTAATAAATAAAATTCCAAAAGAGTGAAAATGAAGTTAAATCGGCATGCCTAAAATAAAAAATAAAAAATAGAAATAGAATGCTTTTTAGTTGGTCATTGAGATTGACATAACTCCTTACATTAGTTCCTGATATTAAAAATCAATAGAATTGGTAGAGGAGTTTGTCAACTATGAATTATTTTGGTCATTTCGTCAAAATTTTCAATTAAACAAGAATAAAATCACAATAATACCATGAATTTTTGTCATATCATTACGGTCTATTATTTATTAAACTAAGGGTATATTTGTTATTTTGATTCTTATTTAATAGAATTTTTTACGAAATGATCAGAATGATTTATGACAGGCAAACTCAAAGACTATGGGCTCGTTTGGATGTGTGTCACATCCCGGCCCGGGCCCCATCACATCCTGGGTTCAACTCCACCGTAGTACGATAATGTCCACTTTGAGCCCCGACCACGTCCTCATGGTTTTGTTTCAAGGAACTCACACGAGAACTTCCCAGTGGGTCACCCATCTTGGGAATGCTCTCTCCCGAACTCGCTTAACTTCAGAGTTCCGACGAAACCCGAATCCAGTGAGTTTCCAAAAAGCCTCGTGCTAGGTAAAGATGGGAATATATGTACAAGGCTCTACTGTACTTTACTTATACTCTGACATCACGTGTGAAATGAGTTCATTTCTGCTCACAACGCACTCTCGCATTTAGGAACTTTTAGATTTAAATTTATTCACATTTTCCCACATCACTATACTTTATGGCTTCGTCACCCTCTTGGTGTCGGCCATCACAACTCGATTTGGAGTCCAATGGACTTTCTGGGTCGAGGTGTGTCATGTGTTTTTAAAATAACTGAAAGCACTTTTAGAGAAAATATTTTTGGGTTTCAAAAGCACTTTAAGTGCTTTCTATAAGAAACACTAGTTATGTGCTTCTTCTATGAAGCATTTAAGTGTTTTTCTAGGGTTTACTAACATTATTACTAAGAATTGTTTTCAAAAATATTTTCACCAAAAACACTTTCAATCATTTAAAAAAAAACATTCAAACAAGCTATATTTCTATTAATTTCAAATCTCAGAAAACAAAGTATGGATTTATATCTATCTCAAATATATTTAGCTAAAAAAACCAAAATAGAAAGATGGTTAGGATTTTTGTTACAGAGAAAGGGATTGAAGAGTCAAAGGGTTGGACCACTGTCGAAGAAAGAAAGAAAATATTCCCAATACTCGATCAGCATTAATGGCCCAGCCCACGGGTTCAGTCTTCTCGCAACTTCTTCGATTTCCGTCTCCATCCAACCTCCTTTATTTCTCCTGTGAATGTATGGAAGACAGGTAGAAAATAAAATGGGGCAGAATTTATACTACCTTAAAGATTATTATTATTATATATATTTTTTAACAAACAATAATATTAATGCGTTAAATAATTAGTTGTTAGAGCAAAAGAAAATTAATGGGAATCAAACCCGCACCATTTGCCTTGGTGACGGTGCATATATGCACGTGCGTAAGTTAGAGTTGCTATTGGCGAATCTTAACAAATGTATATATTCATGTGTTATTGTTTCTCATCACGTGATTAGAGATATAGGAATACAATTTATTTGGCGACACACCAAAACTACTCTCTTTCACTTTTTTTTTTGTCAACTCTGTCACGAGTTTATGAAGAAAGATTTTGATAAAACGTGTTTACACCATGTCGTCCTTATCTAATGTTATAATGTCATATATAAATTTCTTTTTGCATAATATCATATTAGTGACAATAAACCCTTTACATATAAGCTGCTCTCGAAATTCATGACCATCATCCAACCCATCCACCACATTTGGATTTTAAAAGGTATGGGTTAGGGTTTTAATATGTAAAGGACAAAGTGTTTTGTGTGGATGCAAATTTCCGCCTTTTCCTTATTTGACGAAAACGCATCTGTAAATCTCTAATGCTAAAGTTATAA